TCGCATCGCCCTGATTACGATGCACGCCGCGTGCCGCTAAATACACCCTGCCACTGAATGCCAAGTACTTCAGAACTAAATTAGAAAATATGTCCAAATACATAGAATGATGCTAAGAGCCCTAAGTGGGTCTCTCTCTTACTTTATGAGGCCTGAGACTCGTCGTCAACATAATGCTCTCAAATGAGGCAATTCTATCTTCTAACCCTCCACATTTAAGAGCAAAGTTTAATTCAGGAAGCAAAAGAATTAATGATATGGTATCATACACATGTTTTCATTGGTGGAAGGATTTCTGACAGAGTCAAGAAATGTGAGACATAGAAGCACATCATAAAGGGGTGCTTGGGCACAGAGGGCCAGGGCGGAGTTGACACGGATTCCTGAACAGCAGCGGGAGGAAGCAGGCCATCGCTAAGTAGCATTTGAAAGCAAAAGACCTGTGAGGAGGCCTTCTCACCACATACCCCTGGCCCGCAGGACATACGAAGTGATAAACAAGTTCCAAATTCCTGCCTTTCTATCAGCAATACACATGGCCCGTGGGGCGGTCTCCTTAGAGAGGAGTAGAGTAATGGATTCCTCAGGCATTTCAGAAGCATTCAGCCACCCAGCAGTCCCAGTGGGGGAGCTCAACACAACTCCAGAGTGGGAAGTGTCTACCACCTCATCACTTCATTCGGAATTCAAGGAACATGGGTGCTGGACGGAAGCCAGAGGTCCCATGCCCACCGCTCTTCGTTACGTAAAAGAGGCCAGCTGGCTTACCACCTTAGAACAACCACGGACTCTCCCTCAAATGGTACCAACTAAGCCGAGAAGGAACACACATCAGTACGTGTTGCAGCTCTTCCCAACCTAACGGTGGCCTGAGAGGGCTGTGAGTCCCACTGCACTGGTTCTAGGGAAAGCCATGTGATTTGAAACCAACAGCTACTCATCCTAAGCAGCAGAGCTACAAATCATTTACTGAAGAGTCAGAGCAGACAGATATCTGTCTAGTCCTCTGGCCTCACTGTGCTGTGAGCTTCCTGTGAAGCCTGTGAGAGAAGAGAAGTCCAGGAACTGCCAGGGACATGGATGTACTGCCACCTGCCCCTTTCCCGGGGATGCCGCTTCAGAGGCCACAGCCATCAAATCATACTTCCACTCAGCAAGTCCACTCTGAGGAACTCACCTACAAACACATTCAGTGGGCCAGTGTGTTCAGCAGCAAAAGACAGGCAGCAATTTAGCAAACATCTAGAGGGGGCTAGCCAGACTCATCAAGGTCCGTCCGCAGGTGTGGTACCATAAAATTGCAAAAAGCAAAGCAAAGCAAAACTAAACCAAAAAACAATATCCAAACACCGGGATGAAATGATCTTAAGAAGTTTTATTGCAGGAAAAAGCAAGGTGCAGAACAACAACACAGTATTTTACCATTTATGTTTTTAAAACAGAGGGGACTGAGGGTATGGCTGGGTGATTTGCTTACATGAGCATAAAATATCTCTGGAAGGATGTGCATGAAACCAGCAGCACTGACTTGGCTCCAGGAAAAGACAGAAATGGGGAGGCAGGTTGAAAGGAGTGGGGAGGGGCCATCCCACTGCACATTCTTCCTCGTCAGATCTGTTGATTTCTGAATCAGGTGAATGCATTACCTCGTTTTAAATTACTCTTAAAAAAAAAGATGTTTAAAGATCTGATCTTTTAACAAAAGGTGAAAATAGACAATGGCCGTTTTTTCCTCCGACTTTACTTGGGCAAAGAAAATGCTGGCAATTCCAGGTGGGGTCCCTAGTCCTAGCCTCTATATTCAAAAGTCTGGGAAGTTCTACGCCATGAGCCAACGGAGACGTACAGAGCACGCACTCTCTCTGGTCTCAGAACACATGGAGCTGGAAAGGATCAAACCAGCTGTATTCCCAGGCCTTTTCTCAAGGTTAAATGGGCACATTTTGCTACATTACTTGGTCCCATTTCCTTAGAAAACTGTTTGTTGACAGAGCTGGGTTACTTGACAAGTACCAGTTTGCTGAAATCTGTGCATGAGGCTGTTTCACACTCCAGTGCCAGGAACACAACTGGTGCTCCGTGGCTCTCTGTGCTGAATGCACACACGGTGACTGGCTAGCTGGATCTCTGAGTGGATGGACGTGAACCATTATTATTTGATGCTCTGACAGCTGTGGTGCCTATAAAATGCTAATGCGCTCATCGTACGGGGCAAGGATATCCTCCAATTAAACAAAAATAACACCTCTGGAGTACTTCTACAGGTTAGGGAGATTTCAGTTCCAGACTCAAATGTATTTTATATCAACATTTGGACTACGCTGTCTGTTTTTATCACAGTTAATCAATAATGGACTCCAGCTAAGCCCCGGCTCTGTATCAGGTACAAACGAAGATAAGCCAAACTCTATGTTCTCATAAAGCCTTCATCTGATTCCGAGTTACACAGGCCAGAGGCGCAAAACACAGAGCCCCATGTGGACGTAGCTCCAGGCGAACTCTACTGCTAATAGTCTGACACCAGCCTAATAGAATGTGCTGGGACACACGTGCCAGGCCAAGCTCAGACACAGCCAAAACGGCATTCACAGGCAGAGCAACACTGAGCACACACATGAAGCTACCTAGGAATTACAACATTACAGTCTAGGATAGCAGCAGGATGACATAGCTCAGCGCATGCAGAGATGTTACATGACAGTTACGTTTCTTAAAAATGCAGGTTCTTCTGAGGAAGCAGAAAAGCCATTAAACTCCATCCGATGGAGAATCCTGCCTCTGCAAAAACAAGGGAAGTTTCATAGACAAAAGCTTGGCCTCCCTTACTATCGAGTGGGTGGCATTCATGTTGGAGGAACATCTCAACACAAAGTCATTACTAACAACCGCCAGCCACCCACAGTGTTTGGAGGCTTGCTGTTGCATACACAAAATATTTGGGTATCTAACTGCTACTGTCAGATTTCAAAGGATGCTTCAACAAATTTCTGTAGCAAATTTACTTCCACTTTTAATTTTAAAATAGCAATGAAAATACCAGTAGCAAGTTATTTGAGAGAACACATTTTAAAATAAATTTCCATAAAATTAAGGTATTAATAAGCAGATTCTTATAATCAATGCTTTTAATTGGGTTGGAAATTTTCAGAGGCACCCACAAAAGTGCCTCTGTACCATGGATTATCTAAAGGATGCTCCCAGTACGATTTTGTGCTGGACTCTCACTTTAATTGATTTCTCAAATATAACCACTATGATTATATCAAAATGTAAGACTACATAGAAATAAATCTAATTAGATAAGTCAAAGAGAAATAGGATCGGCCAGATGAAAAATTTATCGAAAATATGGAAAATTTTAACCAGGCTAGTATTACATATATCTATCCCCTCACTGCACTGAGACTTGAGAAATAAATGAGATAACCCAAATTTGAAAGCATAATGGGTGAAAAATTAGAAAGCAAATACGTAGTCTTTCTTCTCTCAACAAATGAGCTCACTGGGGATCGGAAAAGAAAGTTTTTTTTAAAGCCCCAGAAAGGAAACCGCCTTCAGAAAGCAATGGCCGTCCCCTCCCCCACTTCCTAGGAAGACAAAACACAGGAGGTAGAGCATCGCAGACCTGTCAGCCCACATATGCTGACATATGCACTCCTCACGCACAAAGGGAGGCCTTCTCCCAGGGAGGCCGCAGGAAGCCACAAGCCCTTCTAGTGCCTTATCTATCTTACTGGATGAAGAACATAATTAGAATCCAGGATGCTTCAAATCTTTGAGTACCTACTAAGTTGCAAAATCAGTGCACACCTGATAAATGAGACCTGACCTTGCAGGTGACTTACACATCAGGGGAAACTATGTAAAATAAATAAATAAATAAATAATCACAAACTGAGGCCAGCATTGAACTACAACTGGTAGAAATAACAGGAGGCATATGGTGATGTCACACACCAAGCATGATGCTTAAAGCTTTACAGACATGTTTTCATTTAGCTGACAATTCTATGGTGTTGCTATTGTTACAAGCCCCCTTTTACAAGTAAGGAAGCTGAGCCCTAACTGGTTTGGCTCAGTGGATGAGAGCGTTGGCCTGTAGACTGAAGGGTCCCAGGTTCAATTCTGGTCAGGGGCACATGCCTGGGCTGTGGGCTCAATCCCAGGAGGGGGCGTGCAGGAGGCAGCGGATCAATGATTCTCTCTCATCATTGATGTTTCTATCACTCTCTCCCTCTCCCTGCCTTTCTAAAATCAATAAAAATCTATTTAAAAACAAATGAGAAAACTGAGGCATATAGAGGGTTAAGCAACCTGCTTCAGGCCACACGGGCAGCGGGCAGCAGGCCGCAATAGGCCACGGAGAAGGCCTCCGTCCGCAGGAGGAGGAGCCTCCAGAGGCGCCAATGCGCAGACATTCTTCCTGGGATCACACCACTGCTGGCGGGTGGAGAGCAGGCATATTAAAGGGGAAACAAAATAAAACTTGATCCCCCCTCCCCTGACCCCACTGGAGGAGAGAGAGACTTCCATAAATCAGCTTTAAGACTTTTCAGACTAAGTACTTGGCCTACAGTCAGGATAGTAAAACGCTAGGTAGTGATTACATTTAGTAATCATGCAAAGAATTTCAATTAAAAACTTTTCTCCTTGCTTCTGGCTCACAGAGTATCAGAGGTACTTTTATGCACTGTTAGCAAAAATATAAATTTTGCTGCAACTTTTTTTTTTCTATAAAGGTATGTTTTTCAGTGTATAAATGTACCTATATTCTAGATGGATATCTATTAGAAATTACTGCCAGTTTTGTCCGTGGAGTAGGGTTGGGGAAAAGAAGGAAAAAAGAAACTAGTGTTTTCACCTCATATTCTTTTCAAATGCTTGATTTTTTTTTTTTTTTTTTTTTAACCATGCTAAGTACATATTTCCCGACTACATCTTGGAACTTTAAATTTTAAGTTGCCTTCTAAAAAAACAAAAACTGATGTTCTATTGTGTACCTTGTTTCCTTCGTGCACCCATCCTACACTCTTCACTCCAAAAGCAGCCTGGCTGGCCGAGGCGTCCAGACAGGTGATGGGCTGCCCGAAGACGTGGTGCAGGGTTCTGGCAGAGTCGTCAGCCTTCAGCAGGTACACCAGATCCCCAGCAGCGGCCACTGCCACGGGGTACCTTTCAGTGTCTGGAACTATTTCAAGGTAGTCAACCTGGAAAGGATAAAGGTTGTTTAGTCCTGCAGGTTCCACATAAAGTTCATCCTGACTTGGTCAAAAGTCTACAGTTCCTCCTCCATGTCAATGAGAAGACCAGCAACCCCACAGAAGAAGACAGGCAGAAGTGGGGGTTAACAGGAAATGACACACAGTTCTTATACAAATGAAAAGATGCGCATCATAAAGGAAACACAGTACACTCCTAAAGAGAGACTATAAAGTGAAAATTCTCCGAGGTACCATTTTCACCTGTCATACCAGGAAAGGTCACATCGTCTGCTGAGACACTGGCCTGCAAGTGAAGGGGACAACCACACGGTGGGTCCCCCTCTGGTTGGTGGGATGTAATCTGGTCCAATATCTATAGAGGGAAATCGGCAGCACTTTCCACAATGTCAAGTGCACTTACGCTCTGACCCGGCAAGTTCCTTCCAGGACTTTCCTTACAAATAAACTCGCATTTATGTAAAGCCATGTGTGCAGGTTACTGGCTAAAGCTTTACTGTTTCATCACTAAAAACTGGAAAATGCTAAACATGCATTAATAACGGACTACAAATAAATGACAGTCCATTTTGGCACTGAAATACCACACAGTCTTGGGCAAGAGCATGAAGACAGGCTTCATGAACTGATACTCATGGGATCATCTCTAAGGTGAATTTGGGCAGAGAGCAAGGAAGCAAGGTAACGGGATTCCCAGTGTGCTAATGTGTGTGTATGTGGGCAGAGGAAGGGTATGATGTACTTGGCTTGTACATGCGTGAATCTTCTAATCATAGCTCCTTTCAAAGAGGCAAGAGTTGAGGGATGGGGTGCAAATGGTGTTACTCACTGTAAACTTTATTGGGTCTTTTAAATTCTGAACCCAGGCAGGTGTAATAGTTATTCAAAAGTGTCTTTAAACCAGAAACTGAATAAAATTCACTCAGTTTCAAATGAGCAAAAATCACACTTTAACATCGGTGCAAATACCAAAATGCATTGCTAAAAGGTTAAAAGGATCTGAGTTACCCGCTCTCTCCAGGTTTCAATGCCATCGGGAGCAGGAAGGCCACGGCCACAGCATTTTTGCGCCATGCCCTCCTCTCTCTCCACGTGTATGGGGCGTCCCTAGGAGAATGATGTGCTTCTTTAGAGCCCTGAGTGCACACTTCCCCGGCGTGGTTTACCACAGGTCCTCACCTCCCTGGGTAAATTCTGAGAGAGCGACAGCAAGTGAGCCAAGCCATCCAATTATGAAAATCCACGGTGGAAAAGGACAGTGCTGCCCTGAAAGCAAGATAACCGAGCCCAAAGCCTGAAGGCTGAGGGCTGTCCAGGGGAGCTGGAGACAGAGAGCGAACATCTGGGCGGCTCTGCTAATCCTCGGCCCCTCGGACAAAGCCCAGGGCCCATCACAAAGGATGAAGTTCTAGGCTAACATCACAAACACGGGAGCGCTGCCACTGCGGCTCGGGGAGCCTATCTGGGGAAGACAAAAGGACCCGGCGCTCCAGGCCCGGGGTGGCTGCCAGTGACAAGGCAGCCGGGGCCACCCTCCCGCAGGGGAGAAATAATACATGGAGTGTTACAGCACACGCCTCCAGCTTGCTCCTTCTCTCCAGTCTAAAAACCATTCCTTACTTTCCTGAGACTGACATCCTCAGCCCAGCCATTTCATTTCATCTTAATGTTGGGTTTTGGACAGACCAAGACGCTCTGATTGGCAGTGGCTGTGCCACTGCTGGGAGCTGTAAAACTACTTCAAAAAGCATCCAGCCTGTGCCAGGATGCCACCGATTGCCAAGGCAGGATTTACATTTTATAGAGGGACTCACATCTTAAGTAATTGTCTGAGTTCATATAATTATTGCTATTCTACTGTGTTCTTTAGTCAAAGACCAGATAATAAGCACGATAGTAGTTGCGAAAACAAATATGGTACTTTCACATTTTTCTAATAAAACCCAAGATGGGAAAACAGCCTCAGGCAGTTTTGGGGAACACTAAACCCAAATCGCTGAGGCTGGATCATTGGAGGGACAAGCAGCTTATGGAGGTGAGGCAGTAACACTCTGCTTTTCAGTTATTCAATCTAATAAGATCCCCACTAGGAGGAAAGGGGGAGGAACAGGGTTTGTTCCAAGTCAGGCCATCTACTTATTCTTCAATGCTGGCTCTTCAGTTCACTCTCCTACTAGTGCCAAAATCAGGTTTATTGAAATTAAACCCAAATTCAGCACAGACTTAAACTTAAACAAATCACCTGCTACAACTGAACTCAGAAGCAAACTCCACTTTAAGAACTCTTTAAGGCTGGCTCAGCTTCACACATGACATCCTGGAACATGACACCGATTTATACCTAATTTTCACACAGGAGCACTTTTACTTCCAGGTGAAAAAAACTTGGGGTGAAGAAAGCAGAGAATGGAATCCTCCTTACCATAGGGACCGGGATAATGTCACTGAACTCATTTTCACTTCTGTATGAGGCCAGAAGCTGACCTTAGATTTCGAGGGGTGGATGTCCTGTGAAAGCGGATGAGGCCCACGGCAACGGAAACCCAGCCCTGCAGTGAGCCCTGGGTCCGAATGACACCTCCTGTTCTGAGGCTGGACAGGTCCAGCCACTGCTCTAAGCTCCTCTTGGCTTCTTGGTAAACAGGGAAAATGATCGTACCTGTTTCGTAAGGCAGTGGTGAGGTTTATGGATGTGAGGCCCACAGGGAGTCCTGAGCGAGTGGGAGCTAACACCATTACTATTTGTTTTTATTAGATTCAGAGGTTCTAAGAATGAAAAGCAAAATGACCAGACTAAAAGCTCACCAGTTTCTGAACTTCAAATTCTGCAGCTATTTGCCAATATCCTTCCTCGTTGGGATGCAACATCACAACATCGAAAGCAGAAGCCGTGGCAACAGTGGCATCTTCCTGGCTGAGGGCTAGTGCCTGGATTCTCGCATCGTGCTCAAAGCGGTGGATAGGATACTTTCCAGTCTTTAGATCCCAAATATTAAGAAAACCTACGGAGTAAAAAAAAAAAAAAAAAAAAAAACCAATGTGGATAACTTTAAATTTACTTCAATGTGAAGTAGATTTTAAATTTACTTCATATGCACAATTATAAAAGAACAATTGTTTAATGTAAAAAATAAATAAATGATGAAATATTTGCATCACATATAACAAAGGGCCAATTTCTATCCTATATAATAACAGACTAATATGCAAATTGTCCCCTCGGGAGTTCGACCGAGAGTTCGATCGCTTGCTATGATATGCACTGATCACCAGGGGGTGGCACAAAACATGGCAGGCAACCCTCAGCAGCAGCAGGGCACTAAGGAAGCCAGGGAGGAGGAGGCAGGGAGGCAGGGAGGCAGGGAACCTGATCAGCCCTGAACACCAGCCAAGCCTAGGGGCCCTACCCGTGTACGGGATTTCATACGCTGGGCCTCTAGTTATATATAAAGGGCTTCCAAGATTCACTAAGGAAAAAAAAAAACTGAAAAGTGAGTGAAGGACATGAGTATGTTGTTCATAGAAAAAGAAACGCAACCTACTCAAAAATAAAAATGTCAAAATTCACTCACAATTAGAAAAAGATAAATAAAAACTATAATACAATACCATTTTTATCAGTCATATTGATAAAGATAAAAAAATTCCATAAAATATTTTGTTCTTGAGAATTCAGGAAAATGCACTCTCAAATTGTTGGTGGGAATGTAAACTAATTCACATACTTTGAAGGCGATTGGATATTTACGAAATTACAAATGTATATAGGCTAGTCACTGTAATGCTTTTAATTATGTCAAAAAATTACAAGTTTTAAATATCCATGAATAAAGAGCTACTTAAATAATGTTACCTTCATACTTTGGAATTGAAATAAAATGACCAGTTAAAAAAGACTTTTTAAAAGAAATTTTTTATTTAAAAAAAAATTTCTTTTTGATTAAGGTGTTACAAATGAGTCTTTATTTCCCCCAACACCCCCTATCTCCTCCCCACTACCACCACCACTCATGTCCTCACTCCCCTGTTGTCTGTGTCCATTGGGTAGGCTTATATGCATGCATACAAGTCCTTTGGTTGATCTCTCCTCCTTACCCCAACCCTCCCCTACCTTCTCTTGATGGTCTCATCAATGTTTCTGTCTCTGGCTCTGTTTTTGTTCATCAGTTTATGTTGTTCACTATATTCTATAAATGAGTGAGATCATGTGATATAAATTTATCTTTCTCTGACTGGCTTATTTCACTTAGCATAATGCTCTCCAGTTCCATCCATGCTGTTGCAAATGGTAAGAACTCCTTTTTTACTGCAGCATAGTATTCCATTGTGTAGATATACCACGGTTTTTTAATCCATTCATCTGCTGACAGGCACTTAGGCTGTTTCCAAATCTTAGCTACGGTGAATTGTGCTGCTATGAACATAAGGGTGCATATATCCTTTCTAATTGGTGTTTCCAGTTTCTTGGGATATATTCCTAGAAGTGGGATCACTGAGTCAAATGGGAGTTCCATTTTTAGTTTTTTGAGGAAACTCCAAACTGTTCTCCACAGTGGCTACACCAGCCTGCATTCTCACCATTTGTTTATTTTCTCTATAGTTTCCATTGTCCTAGGAATAGTATCAGTGAAGAAATCGCTTTGGCATAAGATTTTGCTGCCTGTGGATTCCTCTAGTATTTTTATGATTTCCCATCTTATGTTTAAGTCCTTTATCCATTTTGAGTTTATTTTTGTGTATGGTGTAAATTGGTGGCCTAGTTTCATTTTTTGCATGTATCTGTCCAATTTTCCTAACACCATTTATTGAAGACACTGTCTTGACCATTGAATGTTCATGCCTCTTTTGTCGAATATTAATTGAGCACAGTGGCTTGGGTCAATATCTGGGCTCTCTATTCTATTCCATTGATCTATATGTCTGTTCTTATGCCAGTACCACGCTGTTTTGAGAACAGGGCTTTATAATACAGCTTGAAATCTGGTATTGAGACCCCCACCTACTTGTTGTTCTTTCTCAGCTATTTGGGGTTTTTTTTTATTCCAGATGAATTTTTGGAAAGTGCATTCTAGGTCTATGAAATATGCCATTGGTATTTTAATGGGGAGTGCATTGAATCTATAGATTGCTTTGGGTAGTATGTTACACTGTTTTTGGGTTTTAAAAAATTTACGTGCGTACACACACACACACACACACACACACACGTGGAATATCCTGGAAGGCCACACAAGAAACTATTCATGATAACTGGCCTCTAAGGAAATAAACCAGAGGAAAGGAAGAAGAGCAGGGGAATTTCCTGTTACCTCCTTCTATATACTAAAATGTTTTTCAAAAACTATCTTTACCAAGAAGTGAAATTTTTAAAATATGTTTTCATGCAAAAAACCCAAAGAAGAATTAATTGCTGTGTAGTGCTAACATAGAGAGTTAAAACTCCTACTTGTCCATTCATGCAACAAATAAGCACTGAGCACCTGTTCTAGGTCAGGCCCTGCTCTAGACGCTAGCAATGCCTGAAAACAGCCATTAAAAGTAGTTTACATCCTTCCTCACCACCTCCTTCTAGTAGACTACCCCTGGCCATGGTGCTTTATTGTGCACAGTTGTAAAAACCCAGCTTGACTTTGCCACACTGGTTAAAAACCGACTTTACAATCCACCCTCTCCCCAGCACCTTGACTGCTGCTACACACATTGTCCTCTTACACACACTGGCCATGTCTCCACCTTTCTCAAACTGTCTATGGCACTGCTCTCCAAGTGTGGGCCCAGGACCATCAGCATCCCTGGGGCTTGTTAGAAAAGCAAATTTTCAACTGGAGCAAAAGCTTGAGTTTGAGAACCAGCAGTCCATAGGAACTTTCAGTGCCCTACAGATATATACTTTTCTGTATTTGCAATGCCACTGATTCTTTTTCTTACCAAATCATTTCTTTATGATCCCAAGCTAGTTCTTTTCCCTCAAAGGTTTACCTAAGAAAAGAATTACTTTTTGTAGATGCTGGATAATGGTTTGTTCCAATTCCAACTGATTTTATTTTTTCAAAATTCACAGAAACAATCTGTGGAGATAACACAGTCCATGGCTATTTCTTTGAGTTCAGATCCAGCTCTACTGCTCGCCAGTTGAAGGCCTTGAGTTGAGTTACATAAAGCAGGGAGCCTGTTTCCTCACCTGTAAAACTGAAGATAACATTACCTACTACCCAGGGCTGTTGGGTAGATTAGAGGAGATAAACCACATAAAATGCTGGAGACAGACCAATCATTTATTTTTATGTATTCTACAGTTCCTGCTGTGCATAAAGCATTTTTAATCTATTAATAACACTAATTTCCTCTATTGCTCATCCATAAATCCAGTCCTATTACCTATAGCTTCCTACTACCTAAAACAGATGTAGCTCCTCATGTTTCTTCTCTTTGTGATCCATCTTCCCATCTTTTTTCTTGCCTTGTACTTTTGTCTTTAAACGATAAATTATTTGAACTTATGAACTCACTATGAAGTATGCTTCAGCACTAAATAAATATTGTCAGAAGAAAATAATACCTTTGGGTTCTTTGCCAGACTTTCAAACTGTCAGTAGACTTAAGTAGGTGACTACAAACCAAAGCAGAGCTTTCGAGTAAAATGTTGCTTCATATGTAAAATAGGATGTTCAATATCTGAAGTACAAGAATTATGATAAACTTGGGGGATAAGCAAATCACAAAGGCTCTACAGCACATTCCCTGGCAAATATTCTGGTAAATTCTTTCCCTTCTGACTCAAAGAAACAGACGTGCAATAGAAAACGCCAATGGCTCTGCACATAAGGAGACAGGTGCATTCCAAGATGCACCTCTTGCAAATATTTCTGCGTGGCATTTGTTGGGAGACATCACAATCAGCAGTAGAGAGAAGTGAGAGTTGCTTCTTGCAAGGGACTTTCAAACATGCAGACACTGTCATCTGTCTACTTTCATCCAGTGCTCACTTCGTCTTGGGAGGAGCATCCATCCTTATCCTCATTTTACAAAAGAAAAGAGACAGAAGCTCCGAGTGGTTAAACAACTGTCCAAAGCAACTAGGTACATGATGAGGCTGGGCTGGAAGTTAGTTAGAAACGTGTAGGATGAGCAGCTGCAATTACAAGTGCATAAAATAACTGTGAGATCAATGAATAACTGACGTCAACTCACCCTGTGTTCTGCCAAGTGTGGAAGTTATTCAACCACAGCTCACTCTAAGCACACATGGAGTTTATCTATAAACACATTTTTCATTATTAATCAAGTATTGGTTTTGTTGGCATAATTTTTCCAACAGAATTGTATGCAATAAAATAGGCTTCCCCACAGGTTGAGTTTCAGAGAGCTATCCTAAGAAGTGCCTTTTGGAAAATACATGCTAGGGCCCCATCAATTTAATTCTCTCTGAATGCCTGTAGTGCCATCATCTTTATTGTTTTCTCTATTTCAACTGATCAGTATAGAACTTGGTCAGCTCCTCACCAGTCAGTGGTGCCAGTATCATCTGCACAGTCCTCCAGGACCACTTTATGGTGCATAAAATTTAAGACTGTTATGTCCTCTTGATGAATTGACCCTTTATTATATGAACATCCCCTATCCTGGTTATACTCTTTGCTCTGAAATCTACTTTGTCTGAAACTGACAGAGCCATTCCAGCATTCTTTGGATTAATGTTAGCATGGTATCTATTTTTTCTCCTTTCACTTTGCTGTGTCTTTATATTTAAAGTGAGTTTCTTATGAATGGCTTATAGTTGGTCTTCCTATTAAATGGTGTGTTTAAACTATTTATCTTTAATGTGACTATTGGTAAAGATGGGCTTAACCTACCATTTTTCTATTTGTCCCATTTGTTCTTTGCACCTTTACCCACTCTTTTTCTATTTTAATTCTTTTGTTGGCTTATTAGCCAAAACACTTTGCTGTGTTGAAAACGGTTGCTTTAGGATTTTTAACATACACCTGTAACTTACCACAGT